TTGATGTCTTTACTTATCATTTGGTATATTTTTTTTGTAAATCTGACACTTAACCTGCCCACAGGGGGGGATTTAAAATGACAACTTTTTCACAAAAAATTTACTTTTTCAACTTAACTTTTGAAAATGTTCCGGAAGGTCTGACACTTTTATATATATCTTAAATTAATGCTAATGTAATATACTTTAATTTGAAAAAAAAAAATTTGACCTCTGGACTTTTCTTCGTGGTGAAAATGGCTACCAAATGCTATTTTTCTGTGAAAATTCTCGTTTTTGTATTTATTTTATTTTAAAATACCTTAAAAAAGGTATTAATTCTCAATAGATTTTTATCTCATTTAGATTAAATAACTTCAATGAATATCATGGACCCTATCATTACAGTTCCCCCTCGTTCGATGAAATCTATTATTCATATTAAAATTATTGTATTATGTGATTTCTTTTTTTTATGGTTCTCATTTATTTTCTTAACTATCATTTGACAAACTTTTTTTAACGATACATCAAACTATCAAAACTATTATCTAGTTAAAGATATTATCCTCAAAAATTGAAAAAATTTCAAAATTTATCAATTAAAAAGTTACTTAGCCCTTATGTTGTTCCATATAAACAATTAAAATCATTCAGTTCCAATGCATTTTTTGTCGAATTAAGTTTGAATTTATTAATTTTTAAACTCTATTTGTATTTTCTATTACTATTCTATATTAATGCAAATGTTTTGGTAAAATGTTGCTATATAAATCATTTCTATAGAAAAATTTTAGAATCATTTAATGATTTTTAATTTCATTTACATTTCACTATGGATTTTTATAATTATAATCAAAATTTATTTATTATTTTTTTTTTTTTTCATTTGATTGAGTAATTTTTTTAACAACTTTTCGAAAATATTTTGACAATAAGCTTGTATAAATTTTTAAAAAGGAATTTATTTTGCTTTTTTAAATTCGGGCGTTTTCTGAAATCATGAAAAAAATGTACCACAAATCCTCACCAAAAAAAATTAATTTGAAACTTTCTTTATACTCATTATTTTTTAATATTTATTTTACACTGTTATTACTTTTAAAAAAATATACAACTAGGTGATAAAAGTAGAGGCCACAGTGATAAGGTCATCAATTACATAAGTGTTATATTAATTTAATTTATATATANAAAAAAAAAAATACAATTTCCTTGGGAAAATTAGAAGATGTTTCAGCTGATTCTCAGTACACATATGAATTCATTCCTAAACTTTAGGCTATTGAAACGATATAAATTTATAATTTTTCATATTTCAGCCTATTAGCGTTACCCAGGAGACACCACGAGGAGGTTGGCTGTTAAGTCTCCCAAAAAATTTTTTTGCTTCGATGAGAAGCAGAGAAGATATTTTACTTTTATTTTGTCTTGAGATAAAAATATTTAAGTTAAATTAATATATAATAAAAAATTTAGTCAATTATCGTTAACACAGTTACTAAGATCAATGTAAAAATTTAAAACGTTTTATGAAAACAAAATTGATATCCATCCATCCATAAGAATTAAAATTTTAGATTTTTCACTAAAAATAAACTTCATTGTTAAAATCTTAACAATGTAAAATTCTTTGTTATGTAATAAATTTTTAAACTATAATGGCTACAACGGTGAAGATCTGTTTGATGCACAACATATGTTTTAGAGTATTAAATATTATTATCTGAGATATCCGTAATAAGTTATTATTTTTGTACCCAATATAAAATGAGGGAATCAACTCATACGTAACTTTTAATTGTCTTAGAATCAATTCATCGATGAAATTATAGGAAAACAAATGATTGAAAATCAACTCGTTTGCAGTTGAGTAGATATCCGACAGTGATTAAATTCACTATCACGAAATACGCTTCGATCCATTTTTGTAGATAGTTTTTAATTTTAAGAAGAAATTGATGGTTTATTCAAAAAGAAATATCAACTACTATTTCCTTAATTATCTTGTTTACAAGTTAATAATTATAATTATGTTTTATAATTTTAATCGTTAAGCTATAATAATACTTCTGTATTGAAAGCTAATTAAAAAAAAATTATGTCTTATAAGTATAATTTAGAATTAAATTAAATTTACTATTTCATTGACTTTCGATATTTTTTATTGTAATTTTTATGGAGAAATTATAAATTATTTTAAGTAGTTGTTCATTTTGGTACTTCTATGGCAAACATGTATCAAAATTTTAATTATATATTTATAAAAAAAATAATTTTCATGTAATGTTGGAATACTTAGTTTTGTTATAGAGACAATGATTTAAAAATGACACTTTTATAATAAATAGTTTTACCTAATTAATAGTCTTGTCACATAAAATGCAATAAAAATCAAAATTTTTGTATTCATTTGGTCTATACTCATCAGCTATACAATCAATTACCACTCTACGACAACATGTAGTACATGACACTCATTCAATACTGCTGTGAAGTTCTATATACTTTTGGCAATATAAACATATGTTTGACATGTCACCTGAATTTTCTAGCAATAAACTTTTTAATTCGTTTCTATAATTATTAGGGTTGAACTTCTTGTCGAAATGTGACTTATTCATTATTGTGATAGCGTAGTATATTATATAAACTCCACAGTTATAAGCATCAACTTGTTTTGGTATGTTTTTGGCTTTACACTGAACCAATGATACTTGAGGAATTGGTTTTTTAACATAAGTACAATGTTTTTTTAACCCTCTATATAATTTTTGAAACTTTTGCTGATTGTATTTTGGATCTTTAGTAGGATTCATTGGGTCTATTATGCAACACTCTTTAAGTTCGAAATTAATTATTGCAATTATCCAATGATTCATTTTTGATAATTCTACATGCCATGGCATAATGACAGTACAATTTTCTTCGAAGTTATACCTATTTTTCTGTTTTAGATTTTTTTGCGTACTATTTAAAATTTCTGTTACTTCGTTGCAGTATAAAACTTTAAAAACTGTCCGTTTATTCATTGACTGTATGGCCAAACAAATATCAATTACAAAGTTGCTTAGCCAACTTTCTCCATATAGACAATTAAAATCATTAATTTGTAATGTATTTAAAGTATATATGGTCGAATTAGGTATGATATGATTATAAGTACCAACTATAAAATTAAATAATTTTACTTTGTTATTTATTAATTTCTTGATTCTACTTGTGTGGTCTACTACCAGTCTATAGTATTCCAAATCTTTTGGCAACATGTTAATATATAAATCATTTCTTAAAACATGATTTTGGGTTTCCTTTGATTTTAACAATGGATTTTTACAGCTACAATCAATTTTTATATTACACTCGATTAAAGACATTTTTTTCATTAAATTTTTTTGAAATTAAATTTGTATAACTTTTTATATCTATTTGTTCATTGCCATCAGTAATACTTAATGACTGATTGAACAAATCTCCTATTGTTTTTACATCTTCAGGCACCATAAGAGCGTCGTCATCTTCTTCGTGTATATCTGATTGCAATAAATCATCTGTATTGTCCAACAATATATTAGGTTCGCTTTCTTTTGATGGATTTGTTGATATTTTGACACATAAATTATCTTTTTTTAGAATAATTAAGTACGCCCCTTTTCCATTACTTGGCCATCTCTTTTTAGATATATTTTTATCATTACAACTGACACGGCCACGGCGTTGTCACACGTTGACACCCCGCGGTCGTGTCAGCTCCTTCTCAGCCACCGCTTAACTGTAAACCGGACCGTCACACACACGCGTTATCGCCGTGGTGTAAAGTCCAACAAATGCCTAGCGTCGCATACCCCGCCGCAATAATACGTCCAGTTAGTTATCTCCGTGACACCTTGATGTGCGATTCTTTTCTCTCGGTCCTCGTTTGTTTGGGTGCTCTCAATACTTTCGCTACGAATACTCATATTTTTTAGTGTTTACTTTCAAATCAGCTTACTACTGTGAACCTTACCACCTAGTTATCATTTTCAATAATTAGTAGTCTTTTGGTTTTCTTCTTGTGTTATAACCTAAACAATAAACTACGGCTCACGCCATTTTAGAAACCTTGTGTCGTCTAAGTTCTTAAATAACAACCTCTATCAAAACATACCCATTTGGACTTTTCTTTTAAATATACGGTGTAATGACCAGATTTAGTATCATCGCCCAAATGAAATATTGTAGCTAAAGGCTTGTAAAAAGAATTTTTGATTGTAATTTGAGCTTTGGAAATATTTTTCAACTTCTTATCTGTTATTTTGTTAATTACATTTTGATCATTTATCCAAGTAGAATTGAATAATGATAATTGTAATATTAAGTAATCATTCGCTTTTATTATTTCATGTTGTCTTTTGAAACCTCCTTTTTGATTACAGTTNTTGTCTTTTGAAACCTCCTTTTTGATTACAGTTTTGGCAAATATAATCAGCAATGGATATCCATTTGTTTTTATTGAATTCAAATAGACTTTCTAGCTCTATACTATGTTGACGATTAGATGGTAATTCTAAACGTTTCACAAGATTTCGTTCCTCTTGACTGCAAATTTCATTTTTACAATTATCACAGTAGCTTATACAACTTTCGGTAAAACTAAATAAGATATCATATATACTACGGTTACAATTCATTAAAGCTACCATAAATTCTACACAATCTTGTTGCTCATTTCTAGTAAAAATCGTGTTGTTTAAAGTGTCATCGACATATTTTCTTATTTCAAACGTATTAGTTTCTTTATTTGCTTCATAGCCAATAAGCTGTTGTTTCAATTTTTCTCCAATTTTACCTTTATGAATTGCACTTACTAACTTATCACAATGATATAAAGCTTGAATAACAGAGTTTGCATAACATGATACATTATCCATATTTGTAAATCCAACGATTTTTCTAGAAATCTTTATATTACATTTATTTATTTTATTTTTCACACTATTTTTTTTTTCGATTGATACATCTGAATGGTTATTGTCATCAGTAATGCTCATTGAACGATTAAACATATCTTCAATACTTTCCATATCTTCAGTTTCAATAAGAGGGTTATCATCTTTATCGTGAACAACTATTTGCAATGAATTTTCAATGTGTTTATTTAAATTCTCTGAGGAGAGTAGTTTTTCATTCAGTGGTGGTATAGAATGGTTATCAATCCTTTCCAAGTTGATAGATCGAGAAGGAAATTTTGTTCCTTTGTCCACTAAAATCAAAGGTCTATGGTCACTCACTAGATTTTCATAAACAATTACATTAAAATCAGTGTTGGTTATGACATTGTCAATACAAGTTCCATAGTCTGTTGTTATTTCATTGACAAGTATTTTATAATTCATTTCTTTTACAGTTTTATTTAAAACATTTGGGATTTTATAGAAATTTATATTGAAATCTCCAATAAAAATTATGTTTTCTTCATTAATACCAATGATATTTTTTAAACATTCACACATTTTGTTTGTAGGAAATTTAGGCGAAACATATAATCCGACATATGTGTAATTGTCAAGGATAACATGAATAATTTCCATGTGTTCTTTGTTATGAGTAATAACTGAAGGTTCACTTGACTTGAGAATGTGACGTATATTATTGTTAATAAAACATATTGAACCACTTTTGCCATTGTCATGCACTTTATTGATCCTACATGTCTCTGTGAAACCTTCAATATTATAAAAATCAGAATCTGTAGATCCAGTTTCTTGGAAAAATAGTAAATTTGATTTTAATAGTATTTTATCAGCAAGAATGTGTTCAACATATTTGTTCAATGATCTTATATTGTGTGAAACACAATATATTAAGTGATTATCTGATGCCAAAAATTCAAATTTAGGTTTAATTGCACAAGATCGCAGTCTAATCATTTCAGCATTGACTTTAACAGTCGGTTTTGGCGGATTAGATGGAAAATAGTCTACACTCAAGCCTTTAGCCGATGTTGCTCTACTGCATCCAACATAAAGCATGTTGCACAGTAAATACTTTTTAGGCACATGATATGCAACATTTTCATAAGTTGCCCCTTGCGATTTATGAACAGTCAAGGCCAATGCCTCAATCAAAGGTAATTGTGTTCGAGTAACTTTCCGGTTCTCTGAGTTACCAATTTGAAATTCCAAATGCGTAATTTCAATAGGTGTCCAGTAAGACCAGTCGTCAAATACTTCTCCTTGAGGGGACAACTTCCCTTTAACTTTTTGTCTTGTAATTGAACCTACTTCTGGTTCATCAAATTTTATCCACACTCTATGGGCAACTTCTTTACCACTAACAGTTACTGTACGGTTAATTTGNAACTTCTTTACCACTAACAGTTACTGTACGGTTGATTTGCATCAATTCACCAATAGCGCCATTAACAATACCGTCTTCTGTATTGATATTTGTAACAATCATATATTTTTCTGTTACTATTAGTATAAGTGTCTTAGGCAATCCCATAGTTTTTTGCCTTGGAAGTTTCTTTGCAGCTGTAATATCAACTTTTTTCCCTCATGTGTCTATTGCTTCAGATACAAAACTAGTAGTATTTAAACTATTTAATACTCTCGTATTCATATCGTCCACCTCTTTAT